ATAAAAGGACCCCTTGTTTTTTTACCCCGGTTTGTAAAAAAAAAAAAAAAAAAAAAAAAAAAAAACCTGCAAAGGCCTCTTTGGCTCCATGTGGAATCTACCACCCCTACTTCCTACCCAGGCCGCAGAGATTAGATAACGTGCTCCTTTGGCTGACCCTCGGCTTTACTATTTAAACTTCCCCACCCTCCAAAACATACAAGTAATGAAAGGGAAGGAAAAGCTCCTTGGATGGTGGCTGAGTGATTGCGAAGAGCTCTCTCCTTGGTAAAAAAAACAACCAAGTAGGTTGAGAAACTAGACCATTCAGGCCACCACGTATTCAAATAAACTTCCCTGAGACAACGGGCACAGCAGCCTTACCCCGCACCTCAGGATAGCCTTCTGGGAAAAAGTAGGATGCCCTCTGTCTCCAGGCAGTCTCAGGTACAGCCAGGATTGAGGCCCAAAGGGAATCAAGCAAGCCAGGACTCAATGCAGATCCCAGTGCCTGGACTTCAGCCCTCAGCAGGCAACCTGACTGCCCCCAGTGAGCCTCAGAGGCCTCCTAGCATGGAGAGCAGCCAAGAGGACAACCAGACAGTGGTTGTAGGCTAGGACTCTGGGGCCCAGGATCTTCCTAGAGGATCTGGACTGCCTGGAAATATCCACATGCCCTTCGAGAGGGGAGGCTCCTTGTTTGTAGCATAATGGAACCTAGCACTTTAATGAAGGCTGAGAACCCCAACTGCAGCGATCAGCTCAGGCTGCCGTAACACAGTGCCATAGATTGGGTGACTTAAGCAACAAGAACTTATCACTCATTGGAGCTGGCAGGTAGCGTGGTGGTTAAGGCACTCAACTCCTACCTGGCCAACCACAGTTTGAGTCCTGGACCTGGCGGCTTGCTTTCTCACTTTATTTCTCTCTGTCTCTTTCTCTCTGTCTCTGTCTCTGTCTCTCTCTAGTCAAATTAAAAAAAATAATAATAATAGGGGCCAGCAGATGGCGTAGTGGTTACTTTGCTGGATTCTCACATGGCTGACAGCAGTTCAAGTCCCGCAGTTTGCATGTCCAAGATCCCAGGAGGAGAACAGAAGAGAAGGGATTGTGGCATGGCCATCCCCCCAGTGGGGTGATTTATCACTTTCTGTCTCTCTAGTGAGCACAAGCACTTTATAGCAAAACAAAACAAAACAAACAAAACCTCTATAATAATAATTAATAAATAAAATAAATAATCTTTCTAAGAAATTTTTATTGCTCATGATTCTGGAGGCTGGAACATCCAAGATCAAGGTGCTGGCCAATTTGATTCCCTAGGAAGGGCTCCGTTCTTGCTGTGTCTTCACATGGTGGAGAGACCTTTGGTCTCTTTTTCTCTTGTAAGGACACTAATTTGTTCATGGTCTCATGAAGAAATCCTCATGATGTCATTACCTCTAAGAACTTCCCAAAGGCTGCATATCACGCTGGGGGTTAGGGTTTCACCAGAACTTGTGAGAGGACGTAAATGTTCAGTCCATACACCAACTTAACATCGAAATTCTTACCTGCTGAGAAGCCTCAGCAAAGGCCTTCCCTACCCTGAGCGTCAGTTTTCTCACCTGTAGGTGAAGATAGTGATGTCTGGCTCAAAGAAGAGTTGACAAGATGAAGGAGACTAAGGAACAGGAGGCAAAGAGGACAGAGCCTAGAACAGACCCCAAAAATTATGGGCAGAAGCAGCAACACTTTGAGACCAGAAACATGAGCTCCATTCACAACAGAAGGACCCCTAGGTTCCTGGAAGCACAAATTAAGATGGATGATGGTTGCTGTCTTCCCAAAAAGGCTGCTACAACCCCTGCTCACCCACCATGCAGTTGCACAAAAGGACAGAGTGACTCTGATTTGGCCTTCCCAGCTGGACACTGCTCTCCAGGATAAGTCAGTACCTTTTACTTTGGATCCCAGTATCCTGTACGAATTATTCTTTGTGGTCAGATGAAGCTGAGACACTACACCAAGCCCAACCAGGGTTTCCCTGCCACCAGAAAAGGGTGGGTGCACTGCAGAGAGTAACTTGATTTGTCCACCCAGAGCCCCTCTCTCTGCTGAAGAATGGTCACTTGCTATGTGCAGCCAGTCCATCAACGCCTGCTACCTGCACAGGGCTAGGGCCTGACAAACCACAGAACCCCAATCCCTGTCCACAATAGTCACTGCAGGGGTACACACAAAACCCAAGCAAGCTGAGCTGCCTCCTTTAATGACATTTGATATGTGGGTGCTGGGATGGGGAGAATCTTTCTTTCAGGGAGATGGCAAATCTTAAAGGCATACAGCAGCTGACCATCTTCCCCAGGATAGGAGAAGATGAGCAGTGGCAAGAGAGAAAGGGGCCAGCACTCAGAGAGAAGCTGAGCCAGAAGCCCTAGGAAGGGGGGAGACAGGAAACAGAGAGGGAAACATTCCAGATGACTGACATAACTACCCAAGACTCAACTTCCCAGACAGATGTACCAATAAAGTCTCTGGAGTTTTTTTATTGTTTTGCTTAAGCCAGTTGGAGTTGAGCTTCTAATACTTGTAATGGAAGGAGGCATACCTAATCACAGTCATCTCACTGTAATTCAGAAGAAGCAGGCTGCAAAACGACACAGAAACAAGTAGCAAACACCAGTGGAGAGCACTCATCGCAGCATGCAAGCAGCTCATTCTGATGACAAATGTGAAGTCTCTTGGGGGCACATCACATATGAGAAGACGGATGCTGTGAGCCTCCTAACTTGCCTCCTGCTTGCCACCCATCTTCTCTCAGGAATGTATGATATGGAAGAGACCCACAGTCAGTAATCAACTAGGTTTTCATACTTGAAAGAGAGGAAAACAAGAGATGAAAAGCTAAAAGCTTGACTGGAAAGAGAGTTAACATTTTCCTTAGCCAAGATCACTTAAGTTAGAAAAGTTGAAGGATCCCCTATCCCTGTTTACCAAGTTGATGGGCCTGCAGAATAGTTTTCTAGGAGATGCCAAGCAATGTTACACATACACACATACACATGGGATTTCATGCTCAAATGTATTTGTGAAACTTTATTTATATTGTGAAGAAGGTATTGGGTCACTGGAAAAGTCATGACGTATTTTTCTGTTTTTCTAGGCAATGCATCATGATTTTTCCGATGATCCAATTTTTTTTTATTCATCTGCACAACTTTCCAGAGCCTTTGATATAAGAATGTCCATTGTAAATCTCCAAGGAGATACAGTAAGAAATATTTCCCAATGTATTTGATCATGGAACTCTTTCTCAGACACATCTATTAGCATCTCCTGCAACATGTTCCATGGAACACTTGTTAAGGCAGATCTAATAAAAAGTCCACATTTGCAGATGAAGAAAACACAATCAGAAAAGTGGATTTACTTGGTAAAGATCACAGAGCAAGCAGATCAGAAGCATAGCTTGAGGGACCAGCAATTAGCGTAATGGCTATGTCGCTGGACTCCCACGTAGTCGACCGCAGTTCGCATCCTGGACCTGGTGGCTTAAAACTCACACCAGGCATGTGTGCGTGCGTGCCCAAGATCGCAAGAGGAGAACGGAGGAGAAGGGATTGTGGTGTGGCCATCCCCCCTGGGGGGTGATTTCTTGCTTTCTGTGTTTGTTTCTCTCTCTCTCTCTCTCTCTCTCTTTCTGTCTGTCTGGCAAGTGCACCGTGCCCTATAGCAAAAAACGTCTCAAAAAAAAAAAAAAGAAGCATAGTTTGAGGAGGAACCCTGGCGTAGGCAGTGGCTGATTAGCCCTATTTCATAAAGAATGTCGACATCTTGTTTGCCCTCCATTTCTCTCATTTGTGCTGGTTTCCTTCCCCAACC